CAGTGTAGTCAAACATGGCTGTGCATCTGGTGCAAATTAATCCATTTCCCTCCAAACTTTGTTGTTAAATGTATATCAGAGGACTTGAATAACTGGTGCTCCGGCTATTTACAAATTAATTGCAAAGCTTTGTGTCAGATTTGAACAGTCTACTAAAAACATGAGATTTTAATGAGGATATAGCGAGAAAAATCCTATGTCATGTATCTTGAAATGAAATAAGCCCCAACATTTATGTACTTTTTTTTTTTAATTTTTTTTTTTATTAAAGAGAGCTGCTTAGTACCAGACTTACATCATGGCCACTACTCCACAACCCAGCGGATCCTCAAACTGAATGAAACAGTGATGTATGAATGTGATGAGGGATACCACACCAGAGGAGGAAACACTATTGAAAAGGCAGTCTGTCGTACATATGGATGGTCCCTTACTCCAAACTGCACTAGTATGTTGTTGTCTTTATGTGTAACCCTTCTGCCCATCAGAGTTGGCAGCAACAAGTATCTAGGAGTTTCGTGTCAATAACACAAGGCAAAACTGGCTCGAGCCCCCACCCAGTGACCTGGGACAATTACATACCACCCCCTGGGCGCCTCTAAGAGGCAATACTTCCCCTCTAGCAAGCACAAAGTCTGAGTGTAGCAAAAGCCTTTTAATAAAGGAGGGAAACAATGCAGCATTATGTTGGGGAAACACCACAAACAGGATTCATAACACAAACCATGAGCAAAAAACCCACCCCCAAGTAAGTTTGGCAGTGTCCTTTTCCCCTCAGGGTCTTAAGTCCAGCAACCCAACAGTCACCCCACCCACAGTTTCTGACCTTGGTCAGTGCAGCCCCCAGAGTTCAGAAGTTCATCTGCAGAGTTTACCTCCCAGCCTGGGAGGAAGTGGGGGGGGGCAGTATGGGGGCATCTTACATGCTCCACTGCTCGGGTTGATGGCTGATTGACACACCTCTCCGTGGGGTTCTGCTGCAGTCTTCACCACCAGCTGCACCTCTCCACTAGCCGTCCTGCTAGCCGCTCACCAACTTGTCTTCAGCCCCTCCCTACTTAACACAGCTCTCAGTGATTTCAGCTGTTAGTAGGGGGTGCCTCAGTGCTGGCACACTCAGAACCACTAGCCCAAAGTAGGGCTAGTGCTTAGACCTAGGAATCCGTGATTTCATCTCTGCAGCACCTAACAAGACTCCTAACTGAGTCAAAATTATCTCTATTATTACACCATGGAGAGAGGAGGAGAGTCAAGGTGGTGTTTGGGGCCCACACTACCAAGCAAACATACCTGTCCCCAGCCTCTCTCAATTCACTGGGGTTTGGAACCCATGTCCCTTGCCTAGCGAGTGCTGCTTGGTTGAGGGTGAATCCCTCCATCATAAAATGCCAAGTACAGTTCTACTGTCCTTGATTCACTTTATTACTCCTGTCCCAATAACAAAGAGACCATTTGGGCAAGCAGTCCATCATTCTAGGCAGGGTGGGTGTGCCCATGCAATCGAGATCAGCCCCTGAAGTCCTTTTCCACAGCTCACCACCAGATGTCAGGGTAGAGCTCATTCTGACTCTGCTTACATCTAGAATAACTTAACCTGAATCTTCCGAAGTCTGGTATTCTTTAACCCTGCAGCCTTTGTTTCTTTGATGTGAGAAAAGCTTCCAAACATTTAATGGATTTATTCTGATAGAGTTGTTTTAAATCTGTTTTACCCAGTGTGTGTTTTTCTTTTCTAGAAGTAACATGCTTCTTGTTAAGTGAGATAGAACATGGGAATTTCTATCCCAGGAAGAAAAGCTATGAGGAAGGAGATGTGGTTCAGTTTTTGTGTCAGAAAAATTACTCTTTGAATGGATCTGATTTAATTCAGTGTTATGACTTTGGATGGTATCCAGAGCCTCCAATATGTGAAGGTAACTCTCTCCGTGTATCTCTTCCTGCTCCTATACCACCCTTATTATTACATTTAAAAATATACATTAAAATAACACTGAAGTTTCGAAGTGAAGCCCTCAAAAGTTAGGAAATGTCAGAATTAAGGCTGCCTGTGCAACCTTAATTCAGCCTCCTTATGCATATGCATCAATAGTCTTTAACTACATGATCACATACTATTCCACCCTCCACCACCAAGCTCCAGCCCCTGTATCTGCCTCCTTCCCTTTCCCCCTCAGCTCCCCCTCCCAGTTCTTTATCCCTCTGCATTTGAATCAGGCTGCACATTGCCTGGGTGTCAGCAGAAGGAGCACTGAAAGAACAGAAAGAATCTCTTCCTCCTCTTGGTTTCTGTAAGCCATAGTGGCCTGCAGCAGCTGGGAGCAGCAATTTCAAGGAAAGTCCTGCTCAGCCCTTGCAGCCGAGGATGGAGCATGCTTAGTTACTGTGTGGGAATGTCACATGCAGTAGGATATGTGAGAGGACGGAGCATGCTCAGTGCAGATATAATCTTTAGAAAATTTGCTGCCTAATTCTAAACTTCTACTTACTGTGTGCTAACTGCAGTTTTCAGAGACTGACACATTTTCAGAGAGATGGGAAAAATTTCATCACTTACCTCAGTGTTTCCCACAGCCAAATGTAAAGTCCTTTCTCCAAAAAGTGGAGGCTCTGGAGCTTATCAATAAAAGAGTTGTAAAAATAAAATTTTATAATGGTCAAAACAACATATTTTCCTCCTAGTCTTGTTGTGGAAAACTGCTGCACCATTTAGCTGAATAGTTTAATAACACCACCACCACCACCACCACCACAAAAGTCAGCTTGAGGCAGACACCCAAGATGGGAAACTTCACCCTTAATGGTTAAAATTTGACTGTTTTATAAGCAATTGGAAAACAGCATCTTCTAATGGAAAGGGTCAGGCAACCTTTATTATAAGAATTGTTACCGGCACCACCTGTAGTACAAGTGTGATAACTTAATGTGTCAGGGTTTGACCAATACATAATAATAGCAATGTGACTTTTTTATGAAACTGTAAATACTTCTCATGACTGTCTCGTAATTCTGAAACCTGAAAGTATGTTTTTGGTTAAATGCCATATTATCTATCAGAGGAAAATCCTTGTCCCATTGAAATCAAGGGCAAAACTCTCATTGACTCCAGTGGGATCAGGATCTTTTCCTTAGCATTTTACATTCACAACATACAATCATTTGCAGCTGGGGCCAATCATAGAGTTTATCACTGATGTCAGTGAGAGCAGTTTCAGGCCCCTGATTAATTTCTTAGCTAGCTCAGTTGATTCAAGGGGATCAAATGTAGAAAACATCAACACAAAGGCAAAAAATAGGTCTAATTTTGGAGTGTAAGTTACAACTGAAAAGAAATAAGTAATGGTCAGAACATGGTGCACCCGAGTTGCTTGATTTGAATGCACATCAGAAGTGGGCATGGCCTTCCATGAAGAAATTAAGTTCCTGCAACTCTCTCTCTCTCTCTCTGTTCCTTTTCAAAAGCAGAATAAACTCGGGGCAAATTGAACATGCTTACGGCAGCTTTAACTTGAACTTTTTGTCACTGCACACGTGGGCTTATGGCAGATATTAGTGCTGCTGTGGGAGACTCTGGGAAACTGTGGGTTGTGCCAGAGACTTATTGCTATTGATTCATTTTTCATCCTGAAATTATGCAACCAACATCTATATGGTGGGATCTGCACACATTAGGATGCATATTGTTTTATGCTCAGTTATATGTAATAGTGTGGATGCTTCTCTCCATTATAGATTTGTCTCTGAATGGGGCAGATGCATGTCTGTGCATGATCCCTGTTCATTCTATGATGTCGCAGATGTTTTTATTATTTTGAATGTAACCATACTCTATTTTTCCAACAACCACCTCAGTGAGGTGATCCCCTTCCAGAGTTGACAGGCATGCAGAAAGCATATATATGGCATTATTGGGTGTGCTACCCAGTAGCAGTGTTTGCACAAATTTACATTTCAGTCAGCTAATTTCTTTTACAACACCAATAGACTTTTGCTTATGGGTTTTCATAGATTCCAAGGCCAGAAGGGACCATTGTGACCATCTAGTCTGACCTCCTGTTTAACACAGGCTATAGAACTTGCCCAAAATATCTCCTAGAGCATATTGTTTAGGGGGAAAAAATCCAATCTTGATTTACAAATTGTCAGTGACGGAAAATCCACTGCAACCACTGGTTAATTGTTCCAGTGGTTAATTACTCTCACTGTCAAAAATGTACGTCTTATTTCCAATTTGAATTTGTCTAGCTTCATGTTATACCTTTCTATGCTTGATTATAGAACCCATTATTAATTTTTTTCACCATGTAGATACTTATAGACTGTAATCAAGTCACCCCTTAACCTTCTCTTTGATAATCTAAATAGATTGATCTCTCTGAGTCTATCACTATAAGGCATGTTTTTAATAGTTCTCATGGCTCTTCTCTGGACCCTCTCCAATTCATCAACATCCTTCTTGAATTGTGGGCATCGCAACTGAACACAGTATTGCAGCAGCAGTCGCACCAGTGCCAAATACAGAGCTGTAAAATAACATCTCTACTCCTATTTGAGAGTCCCCTGTTTATGCATCCCAAGATCGCATTAGCTCTTTTGGCCACAGCATCACACTATGACTCCCAAACCTTTTTCAGAGTCACTGCTTCCCCGGATAGAGTCCTCTATCCTGTAAGTGTGACCTACATTCTTTGTTCTTAGATGTATACATTTACATTCAGCTGTATTAAAATGCATATTGTTTTGTGTCGTTTACCAAGCGATCCAGATCTCTCTGAATCAGTGACTGGTCCTCTTCATTACCTACCACTCCCCCAATTTGTGTCAGCTTCAAACTTTATCTGTGATATTTTGTTTTCTTCCAGGTCATTGATAAAAATATTAAATGCTATAGAGCCAAGAACTGATTACTGTAGCATCCCACTGGAAACGCACTTACTCAGTGACAACTCCCTGTTTACAATTATGTTTTGAGACCTATCAGTTAGCCAATCTTTAATCCATTTAATGGGTGCCATGTTAATTTTATATCATCCTAGTTTTTAATCCAAGTGTGTGGTACCAAGTCAAACACCTTACAGAAGGCTAAATGTATATTGCATCAACACTATTACCTTTGTCGACCAAACCTGTAATCTCATAAAAAAAAAAAATCTAGTTAGTTTGACAGGATCTGTTTTCCATAAATCCATGTTGATTTGCGTTAATTACATTACCTTCCTTTAATTCTTGATTAATCAAGTACTGTATCAGCCTCTCCATTTTCTTTCCCAGGATCGATGTAAGGCTGACAATTGTATAATTACCCAGGTCTCACCGTTTACCCTTTGAAAAAATTGGCACAACATTAGCTTTCTTCCAGTTATGTGATATGCTCTGTAGTAGTGTATACTTGAGGTGTCGGGTCCTGGGTCACAGTTTACAGTTCCATCTCATCATTTTTATTAGGGCTGTCAATTAATCACAATTAATGCCTGCGATTGAGTAAAAAGAAAATTAATGTGTTAATCGCTTACCTCTGGGCGTGGAGGGAGGTATCGGCAGCAGCCCCAGGGTGTAGCTTTGCAGGTGGCTGAAGGCTGGAGCCCTGTGTCTCGAGGGAGGCTGAAGCCCAGAGCCCCCAGCATCAAGCCTATATTTGAAAATATAGAAAACCTCCAAAAATGTTCAAATAAATGGTGTTCTATCATTGTTTAACAGTGGGATTAAAACTGCAATTAATCGCAATTAATTTTTTTAATTGCTTGACAGCTCTAATTTTTGTTGGTTTAAGCCCAATCTGTAACATTCCTTTTATCATACATTTTTGTAATGATTTCTTACACTCAGTGTTGTCTAACTTTACTTTCATAAACATTCTTGTTTTCTTATTACTAATAGATAAAATGCTTTAACTGAAACTGTCAGATTGAACTTCTGAACTGGTTCACATTCACAACTGATATTTACAGAACAGTCTAATGCAGCTGAAGGCTAAAGTACCTGTGGCTATGGGATGTTGATTTTTTTAAATCTAGGACATGGTCTGAATAAGCAGTATGGGTTTCAAGATTAAGTTCAATACTTTTTAAAATTGACTGTGACCTTTACCTGTGGACTCCAAATTTTAGTTTTCAGTGGAAAGAGAAAATTGCATCCAATTTTTAAATGGCATTGGGGTGAGAACTGCATTGCAATTATCAGTAAACTGGATTGTTAAAATCACTGGGTCAAATCCAATCTCTTTTAAACTCTATTGAACTACGTGGTTGACTGAGTCTGTGGGTTTGATTAATGTCCCTTTTCTGTGGCTACAGTAGTGACAATACCTGGGGAACCCCTAGAAAGTAGAGGGGGAAGCATAGTGGGACTCTGTAGTCCTTTGTTCATCATGGACCTAAGCTCAGCAGGGGAGGTTTGGTGAACAGTTCAGAAAAGTGAACATGACCACTGTGTCCATCAACTACAATGATCACTAGCAACCCTCCCCCTCCTACCCCGATCAACAAAAACAAAAATCATTTTGGGGTGGATACCGCAGGCCATGGCTGCTTGCAGGACAAGAAGTTGTGGACAAGCTGCACTGATGCCCTATATCTGGATTGTAGAGGAGGATTTCCTTAACCTGTCTGTAAAGGCTTTTTTACTCAGGATTTCTACAGACAGTGAGAGTGTCAACCTATGAAAATAGCACCATCTCCCCAAAAATGTCTGTTATAGTGCTGGTTAAGCGTGTCAGGTCCGACTGTGGTGAACTAGACTCTTGAGGTAAAAATCGGAACAAAATGTGTCACCCAGAGCTCTCCAGGTTCTGCTTCTATTGTTTCTTCACCACGTTTGTTCTCTGGCATGGATGTGCATGTGTGTGTAAACCTTAAGAAACCAGTTTGCTTTCCTGATAGAGATGATCTGATTAAAGCCTCCACCACATGTCCAAATATGTGTTTTCTTTCTAGATAGAAGAAATAAATGCCCTCCTCCACCTCAGCCTCCCAATGCCAATATACTCACAGATTTAAGAACATATCATAATGGAGCCAAAGTACATTTGGCATGTCAGCTTAATTTTACAATGAGAGGATCAGAAGAAATCCAGTGTGAGAATGGAAAATGGACTTCACCCCCAAGTTGCATTGGTTAGTAGTTGCTTTACAAATGTTTGGAGCTGAAGTAAAACCCCAGTTCAAAACATGTCTTAATCTTCATGTCTGTGTCTCAGTTTCCCCATCTTTAAAATTGGGGTGATGATATTTACCTCCCTTGTAAAGTGCTTTGATGCCTATGTGTGAGAAGTGTTATGTAAGAACTAGGTATTGATCATTTTGGGACAGGATGAGGGAAGAGCCAGGATCTGAAGATGGATTTAAATCTGAATCCAAATTTTATGTCTGATCCCCACTAGTCCCAACTGCTCCACCAGATCCCTGATTTATTAGCCAGCTGGACAGTCTATAAGGCCAATCTTTTTTTTTCTTGGGCATTTGGATGTGGTGTCTGGTGGGAAGGAAATAGTTTGTAAATATGAATAATTTGAGAGAGATGTTTCCAATTTTTTTGCTATAGTTTTAGAAGCCAAAGAAAAAATACCATGTGATCAGCCACCTCCTATTGAGAAGGGTACAGCAATAACTGAGGACAAGATGTATTACACAGGAGACACTATTAGATACAGTTGTGATCATGGCTACAGGATAAATGGATCAAATGAAATAACCTGTAAAATGGGAAAATGGACATCACCTCCTAAATGTATTGGTAAGTATTCTGCTTGCAGTGTTATAATTCCTCATCCTTGTGAGGTGCTCTGATACTACGGAGATTGTTGATAGAACAACCTGGATGGATAGATTAATGGTCATTATTACTTGTCATTAATCACAATAAATTGTATACTGTATTTGCAGTTATATTTCAGTTAATTACTGGTGCTGGCACTTGTATTTAACTATTTTATAACTGTTTTCTTGTCCATGCTGCTTAAATATTTTGAAATATTCAAACTATGAGGCTTCATGAGTTACTTTTTTGCTTAATGGCTTCTATGATATCATAGACTCATAGAAATGTAGGACTGGAAGGGACCTCAATAGGTCATCTAGTCCAGTCCCCTGTACTAAGTACTGTCTAAACTTTCAGTGACTGAGATTGCACAACCTCCATAGGTAATTTGTTCCATTGCTTACAGTTCCTTACAGTTAGGAAGTTTTTTCCTAATGTCTAACCTAAATATCTCTTGCTGCAATTTAAGACCATTATTACTTGGCCTGTCCTCAGTAGTTAAGGAGAACAGTTCATCACCCTCATCTTTATAACAATGATTTTTAGGTACTTGAAGACTGTTATCAGGTGCCCCCTCAATCTTCTTTTCTCCAGACTAAACAAACCCAATATTTTCAATCTTTCCTCATAGGTCATGTTTTCTAGACCTTTAACCTTTTTGTTGCTCTTCTCTGGACATTCTTCAATTTGTTCATCTCTTTGCTGAAGTGTCCTGCTCAGAACTGGAAAGGCATTCCAATTGAGGTCTTATCAGTGCTGAGTAGAGTGGAAGAATTGTTTCCCATGTCCTGCTTACCACACTCCTGCTAATATACCCCAGAATGATGTTGCTTTATTTGAAACAGTATTACAGTGTTGACTCATAATTAGTTTGTGATCCACTATAACCCCCAGATCATTTTGTATTTGTACAATTGATTATTCCTTCCTAAGTGTATACTTTGCATTTGTCCTTATTGAATTTCATTCGATTTATTTCAAATCATTTCTCCAGTTTTCAAGTTCATTTTGAATTCTAATCCTGCCCTCCAAAGGGCTTGCAACCCCTTCCAGATTGGTATCATCCACAAACTTTAAAAGTGTATTCTCTATGTCATTATCCAAATGACATTCTCTATTATCATTATTTATGTGGGAAATAAATAGAACTGGACCTTACTCGATACGCCCTTCCAAGTTGATTGTGAACTATTGATAACTACTCTATTCTGGGAACTTGTGAACTCCTACCCACCTCCAACAGATATAGCTTGGAATCACCTACTGTGGAATACACACGAGCAATCACTCGAAGAAGAAAAGACAGTTACCTTTTCCGTAACTGGTGTTCTTCAAGATGTGTTGCTCATGTCTATTCCACATCCCGCCCTCCTTCCCTTCTGTCGGAGTTGTCTGGCAAGAAGGAACTGAGGGTGGGGGGAGCATGCAGCTCCCCTTATACCGCGCTAGGCAGGCGCCACTCTAGGGGTTGTGGGGCGCTTTCCCCCTACGGGTACTGCTAGGGGAAAACTTCCGGCACCGGTGCACGTGGCGAGCACGCACACCTACTGTGGAATAGACATGAGCAACACATCTTGAAGAACACCAATTATGGAAAAGGTAACTGTCTTTTCCTTCTTACTGCCAGTCATGGTTGTTGGAACTGTGGGATGCTTTCCTCCTGTCACGGTCAGACCATCTGCTGTACTTGTTCCCATTTCTGCTCGTACACAAAGTCCTGCTCAAGATCTGCAGGGACAAGGCGGTGGTCATAGTAGTAGAGCCGCTGTGGCCACGCCAGCACTGGTACACCACACTCACGGAGCTGTCGATGGATGCTCTAGTCACATTGCCGTTGTTCCCAGACCTGATCACCCAGGACCACCGATGCCGTCGTCACCCAGACCTCCAGTCTCTCAACCTCACGGCCTGGAAGCTTCATGGCTAAACCCCATGGAGCTCATGTGCTCACAGCCAGTCAGGGAAGTTCTGCTCGGTAGCAGGACTCCCTCTATTAGGGCCACCTATCTGGCAAAGTGGAAGAGGTTTGCGATCTGGTGCTCCCAGGGCTGCACTTCACTGTTGCAGGTCCCCATCAAGGGCCTAGAGCATCTATATTCACACGTTCGGCAACTGATCCCTACATGGAACCTCAACCTGGCTCCTTTGAAACTGATGGGACCTCCCTTTGAACCGTTGGCAAATTGCTTACTCCTGTATCTTTCATGGAAGGTCGCCTTTCTAATTGCCATTACTTCGGCAAGGAGGGTCTCGGAGCTCAAGGCCCTCACTTATGACCCTCCATACACAGTCTTCTTCAAAGACAAGGTGCAGCTCAGAACTCACTCGGCTTTCCTTCCAAAGGTCATGTCCCAGTTTCACTCCAACCAGGACATTTTCCTGCCTGTGTTTTATCCCAAACCTCATGCGAGCAACCAGGAGCAGATGCTCCACTCTCTGGACGTTTGACAGGTGCTTGCCTTTTATATCGAATGCACGAGGCTGTTCCGAAAGTTGAACCAGCTATTTGTGGTAGTGGCAGACCGTATGAAAGGTCTCCTGGTCTTGTCGCAGAGGATCTCACCGTGGATTATCTCCTGCATCCCCATCTGCTATGAATTAGCCAACATTCCGGCCCCAGCTCTCACGGCTCACTCCGCAAGAGCACAGGCCTCATTGACCGCATTCCTGGCCCAGGTGCTGATTCAAGAGATCTTCAGGGCAATGACGTTGTCCTCAGCACACACTTTTGCCGCTCACCACGCCATCACCCAGTACGCTAGTGATGATGAAACCTTCAGCAGAGCAGTGCTCTAGTCTGTCGTACCATAGCTCCGACCCCACCGCCTAGGTAGGACGTGGGAGTCACCTAACTGGAATTGATATGAGCAAGCACTCGATGAAGAAAAATGGTTACTCACCTTCTCATAACTGTTGTTCTTCGAGATGTGTTGCTCATATCCTTTCCAGACCCGCCCGCCTTCCCCTCTGTCGCAGTAACCGGCAAGAAGGAACTGAGGCAGCGCCCGGTTGGCAGGGTCATATATTGAGCGCCTTGCTCGTGGTACAAATCAGCTGGAGACCTCTTACTTTGCAAAACCCAGTGTCCTTTTATTTCCCTGTGTTCGTTCCCACCACCATCTATATACAACTCTGTACAATTCAGTAGGAGTTAGGTAGTCACCCGGGGGACAGCTAGTTCCTGTTTCTAGCTAGGAGCAGCAGTTCCTCACTCCTTACTCCTCCTGTTCCACCCCTCTCACTTCCTTCCTGCCAGCTTTCTAGGCCTTCTTCCCACCAGGCTCACAGGTGATTACTCTTAGTCTCCTTTAATGAGCCACACCCTGCCAGCTCCCCTTGATGGGAACTGAGCTAGCAGGTTCTGAGCTAACAGGGGCTGGTTCAGTGCCTCTCAGGCCAGCACCCTGTTACAGCCATCAAGGCGCCACTCCAGGGGGCTCCCCAGCTGACCTGACGGGTGCTGTTAGGGGAAAAACTTTGACAACTGTGCATGCTGTGCACACACACCTAACTGGAATGGATATGAGCAACAGTTACAAGAAAGTGAGTAACTGTTTTTTCATAGTTTGACCTAGTTTCCACTTCTTATATCACTCTTGAATTTTAGGTCTTGACAATATCTTGGTTAAGTCAGGGTGGTCTCTTACCATACTTCCTACCTTTCCTATGCTCTTGTGCCCTTAATATTGTTTCTTTTAAAAAACTGCCAACTCTCCTGATCTGTTTTCACTTAGACTTGCTTCCCACAGCATCTTATCTACCAATTCTCTGTTTGCTAAAGCCTTTTTGTCTTTATTCTGCTGTTTCCCTCCTACCGTTTCTTAGAATCATGAACTTTAATCGTTTCATGATAGAGTTCATATCTTTTCATCTCTTTATTTTTTCAAGCAGCCAGAAATGTGTTAAGCACATCAGAAAACAAGTAAAGACACTCCCGTCCTAGACAAACATACAATCTAAATTCAGCGTGACCCAAGAAGTGAGAGTCAAAAACAAAGAGGATTTGGATGGGGGAATGGTACAGGTAGGATAAGTATGGCAATGAGACTGCATATTGACTCAGTAAGGCATTTACATGTGTTGGTGCTTCTGTTCCTTTTTGTAACCCTTTAAAAAAAAAGAAAGAAAGAAATAGCAGCTAAATTGTTGGAAGAAGTTGCAATTTTGTTTGTTACCCCAGTTTACATTTATTCTGTAGTTTTAATTTCCTTCTCAGAAATCTAGTTACATTGATTCTGGTACTATCATTTGAGAGAATTGTTGTGTACCGATACAGATTATAGCTACGGTTCTTCTCTTAGAAACACGGGAAACCTGCCCCTCTCCACCTGCAATTAAAAATGGTGCTAGTTTTGGACCATTATTGACAAACTACACAACAGGTTCCTCAGTAAAATACAGATGCCATCGGTACCACATATTGGAGGGTCCTGAAACTGTTCATTGTGTACAAGGAAAGTGGACAGCTCAGCCAACTTGTTTAGGTAAGTCTTGGTGAAAAACTAGATGTTGTATTATTATATTATTCATGATCGATAAGACCATGGAAAAAAAACAACCCATATAGCTCTATGGGAAATGCGGTGGTCTCAGTTAAATTCCAGGTGGATAATGCCTGCATCACACAAACTGCTACCACTATGATATCTTTCTTTGTAGACTTGCTGAGACAAGTACCTGATGGCTGAAAGAATGAATCCTTCTCTCGCCTCTTGAATTTTTGCCTTGTGGTCAGTTTTGAGGCATAGTGGTGGGGCAGTTTGCATGGTCATTTCCCAGGCTGTAGCTTTTCTCTGGATAATCAGAGACTTTATTCTCCTGTGCTGTTTCTCAACACCTTTCATGAGAACTAAATTTGCAGGAAAAAATTAGTATATATACAGAGAGGGTAATAATGGTAGAGCAGATCCTTAGTAGTAACCAGTTTTTCTTTAAAATGTCATTATTAGAAAACTCTTATAGTAAAGCACAAACAGACAGGGTGCTGGAACAATTTGAATAGTGAGGGTGCTGAGAACCATTGAACCAAACTGTAAACCCTGTATATAATGGAAACCACTTCAAGTCAGGGGGTACTGCAACACCCCCCGCATCCCTAGTTCCAGCACCTATGCAAATAGAAGACCAATACAATTATATTTACCTATTTAATGTAATAAAATGTGCATATCTATCAATTTAAAAACAACCAAAATAAAACTGACCTAAAGTAACAACAATTTAACTCAAAAGAAAACCAAGAAAAAGCAAACACTCCAAACAATTAAAAAATACTACCCTCTCAAATCAATTCCTCAGTCAGACATCTAAGTAAAAAAGTTAAATTTGCCATGTGTTGGCTACCCTTGTCCTGGAATGGCTGACAAAATCTAGCATCTGTAGTACTGCTGTCAGTTCCAGTAGATGACTCTTTTCCTCTTAAAAAGATTTTCCCAGTTATGGTAACTAAGTAGGATTAATGTTCTTATCTCTGTCAACAGCAGAAGTGAGTTATTTACCATCAGTAAACACAGCCTGAGGTACCACATGCATCATTGGTACTGATTAGCTTGATTTCCAGGAATTACAGGAATTAGCCTGATTTCCCGTAAAGTTTGTGTCAAAAGGAGTTTGTCCCCTGTGATGGGGCAGTTTACATTCCCCAACTTACCTTTAATTTTACCTATTGTAATATTGATTTATGGTGAGTAAAGCTCTAAAGAAGTTGTAGCATTTCATATGAAGTTCAAATCAGTTTGCAGGATCATTGAGTTATAAGCCTTTTTTGGCTAAGAACTTTTAAATTTGGGAATTGTTACGAAATATTTGTATAAACATAGATGTTTGTCTTCTAGAACCATGCACTCTTAATGTGGATGATGTGAGCAATAACAACATAGAGATGAAATGGAGACTGGAAGGAGAGTTATTTTTCCTGCATGGTGAAACGATAGATTTTGTATGTAAACAGGGATACTATTTGTCATCCTCCAGCAGGCAGTCTCAGCTAACAGTACAGTGTACCCATGGAAAAATCATATATCCAACATGCATTATGAAAGGTAAAACAATAGCTGTTTTTGCAATCCTATTATAACTCACCAAGTTCAGACACACTGAGATAGCTTTGCTTGAACAGTAAAGGCATAGACTCTGCTATTAATAGCAATAGAAGTTTGAGGTCAAATTGTCCTTTCCATAGCAAAGATGTATTTTAAAATTATACGAACACAGCAGAATAAAACATTTTCCTTGGGGGGAGGGGGAGAGGGTGCCTGCAGAAGGGGGATGAGACTTTCTAAACACTTGTAGCCCAAGGATTTGCTGGGAATCCCAGCTCCAGAATTTAAGTGCATACAAAGTAAGAAGTTCTTGTAGACGAACTTAAATGGGTGCCAGATTTTGCTCTTAGACACACTGTACGTCTTTGTTAAAGTTTTTGACACTATTTATTTTATGTAGATCCCAAAGAAAAATGTGGCTCCCCCCCTATTATTAAGAATGGAGATGTTATTGACCCACGGCTGACAGAATATGAGAGTGATTCTTCAGTTGAATATACTTGTTTTGATCATCATTTTTTGCAAGGGTCCAATAGAGTCTATTGTTCCAACGGACAATGGACTACCCCACCAGATTGCATAGGTATGTAAGAGGTACTTTTGTTAAAAAAAAATAAAAATGACAAGCTCAATAAAAGTTGATTCAACTTTTGTTTTAGGTTTTTAATATTAATTTCCATTATTCAAATTAAGTTCTCAATCTGAGCAATTTTGGTAGATCTGAAGCCTCTGGACTTTGGTACATCTGGGCAAATCTGCAGTTTTTTTATCCTGTTTTCCTAAGCCTATAAGAATTGGAATATGTATGCAACATCCAGAAGTACTATCATCTGATGTTTAGAAGGGAGGAAGGTGTTTGTATCTATTTTTAATATACTAGCTATAGCCAAATAATGCAGTCTCATATATTAATATTAACCTGTATATCAAGTTATAAAGGAGATTAACCATGTATCTTTTTTGTGTTAAGAACCATGCACTTTATCGAAGGACGTAATGGACAAAAATAACTTAATACTGAGATGGAGTTTTGATGACAAATCTTATTTTTTCCATGGGGAATACATTGAATTTCTATGTAAAGAGAATCATTATGGAGCACCATCAACCTCAGTGTTTGATTTTAGAATACAGTGTAGCAGAGGACAGCTGACATATCCGAGATGTGTTGAGAGAGGAAGGTAAGGCTAAGGCAGTATTTAATTTGAAATTTGTACGTTCATATGTATAACATTTTAATTTCCATTTATGGGCTACCATTTCCAAGATGATTAACCAGCACTAACATTGATTCTCAACCAAACTATAGCTCTGATGTATTTGCATGTGGCTAATATATTTATGTGCATTTCACATATGGCTTCTATGAGTCATGTAGTTTTGTGGTTGGTCCTTTTTTGGGGGTTGGAGAGGGAGCAATAGAAGTAGTTGTTATAGAATCTCTGAAAATAATTAAATGTCTTCCTGTGTGAAGTGAGTTGAAACTGTTTGGTCTAGTGGTTAGAACCAAAGGCCTGAACCAGAAAGATGTTAACTGTAATTTTCTGATGGCTGAATCAAAAGTATTATATGGCGGGAGTACATATACTAGATGGGTGGCACCGGTCTGGCTTGAAAGTTGTGGTGAAATTATAAAATCACAGTCGCCATTGGAACCCACAGGGAGCAAACAAAGGAGAAGTTCTTTTTTGAATGATTGCTCATGTGCATTCCACAATTGGTGTGCGTGCTCGCCATGTGCACCAGTGCTGGAAGTTTTTCCCCTAGCAGTACCCCTATGGGAGCACCACTAGCAACCCCTGGAGTGGTGCCTCTATGGCGCGGTATAAGGGGCGCTGCATGCTCCCCCTACCCTCAGTTCCTTCTTGCCGCCAGTGAAGGTGCATCGGAACTGCTCTGCTCCAGCTTGTCTGCAGCTTTCCTCTTGAACTCTTGTTCATTCATAGTTAGTAGTACCTGTAGTTAAAGTAGTTTAGATTAGTGTTAGTTTAGTTTAGTGCACCCAGGTTGGGGCATGCCCCATGCCCGGGGCTTTAAGTTGTGCGATACTTGCAGGCGGCCAATGCCAGTGAGTGATCCGCACACGAACTGTTTATGCTGTCTGGGGGAAACCCATCTCAGCGATTGCTGCAAGATTTGCAAATCCTTCAAGCCTTGGACCAAGAAGGAAAGGGACATTTGGCTTCGAGCCATTCTGATGGAATCGACGTTGACCCCGACTCCGGTGCGCCGCTCCGAGTTGGCATCGAGTACCGCGGTGTCGGTACGTGGTGACCCTTCAGTACCTTCCACCAGTCAGCACCGCTCCCCATCCGCGGGGCATGCCAAAAAGGCTAAGAAGAGGTCTTCTCTGCTGAGACACTGGAGCAAGACCGGGGGAGAGACTAGACCCACGTTGGGCAGTTCTTGATCTCCGTTGGCCTCCAGGCCTACGACTCCGGTTGAGTGGAGCAGCCCGGCCCACTCGGCGCTGACCTCCCTGGATGTCCGGGTGCCCTCCACGCCAGAAGCCCTGCAGGTGGCCTGGGATGTTGTGTCTCTGCCGGTACCAGGGGCACCGCCACCGTTGGCTCCTCGGTCCAGAGGCAAGCCACTGCTTGGATCTCCGCAGTCACCGCCTGTTCGGTACCGTTCGCAGTCTAGGGAATGTTCCCGATGCCGTTTGCCGCTCAGCGACCGCCCCGTATGCAATCTGCGCCATTCCCTGTCAACCCCCACCAGGTTGTCTGGCTGGGTTCCAAGTGGCAGGGGTTCTAGGCACCGCTCCGCCTCGAGGGACCGCAGACCTCGCAAGGGGAGTGTGCCCCGTTGAGACCGGGACAGACGGCACTGGAGGTCCTCGTCTCCGAGAGGCTACCGTAGCCTGTCGCGCTACGGGCATCAACACCATTCCCGTTCTTTGTCTCGCTCCAGTATCCTGCCGCGGCACGGCTCCCGAAGTCCCAGGCATCGATCACCGGCACCTCGCCATCACGGATCCACCCATTGGAGCCAATTGTGGAGCAGCTGCTACCGGCGGTACTCCCGCTCCTCCACACCGGGATTACGGTTTCGTGATCAGCACCGTTCCTTCCGGTCCCGGAACAGCAGCAGGTCGTATGCCAGCCCGGTCTCCCTTTGTAGTCATCAGTCGATGGGACAGGCTAGTCAGGCTGAACAGCCTGCTCCGCCAGTGCCACAGCAGGTACAGTGGCACAGGGCTCCTTGGCTGGCACCATGGTACCAATGGGCCCTGTGGCCCCTGGTGCAGCCCCCAGTGGTGGCTCGCTCAGTGGCTGGAGCCTCGGCGAGACCCTCGGCCTCCCTCTCTCAGCCTCCCAGAAAGGAGTCGGTGTGGCGTTCATCTCTGGTTCCGTGCCCGGAGGGCGACCAAGTGGTGGGACCTCCGGTCCTGGAGGGTACGCAGAGTACCGCACCCTCATCCTCATCCTCCCCTGATGAGGACGCTAAGGCCAACCAGAAACTGTTGAAAAGGGTGGCATCGAGCCTCAATCTTCAAGCCGAGGAGGTGGAGGAGCCCTCGGACTCCCTCTTCAATGTCCTCTCGGCCTCTGCACCGGGCAGGGTGGCACTCCCACTCCATGAAGGGATGGCAAAAATTTCAAATGCCTTGTGTAAAACCCTGGCTTCCTTGCCCCCCATCTCTAAGAGGGCAGAATGCAAGTACTTTGTGCCCGCCAAGGGGCATGAATACATCCACCCTGCCGCCAACTCCCTGGTGGTCGAGTCTGTCAACCACAAGGAGAGGCAGGGCCAACCAGCCCCTACTCTGAAAAATAAAAACTCAAAGGGTCTGGACTCATCTGGGAGAAAGGTTTATTCATCCTCGAGTTTCCAGTTAAGGGTGGCAAATCATCAGGCCCTCCTGGGGTGGTCTGAGTTCAATTTGTGGCTCTCTCTGCCCAAATTCGAGGACTCCCTCCAGGAGCGTGACAAGAAGGAGTTCAAGGCTCTGGTGGAGGAGGGTACAGCGGCTGCCAGGGTGACCCTGCAGGCAGTGTCAGATGCCATGGATACGGCTGCAAGGTCTATGGCCTACGCGGTGTCCATGAGGAGGGTGTCATGGCTCCTGCTGTCGGGGCTGTCCAGCGAGGCACAGAACTCCTTACAGGACCTTCCGTTCGACGGCAAGGCCCTGTTTGAGGAACAGACGGACGTGAAATTGCACAGCCTGAAAGATTCCCGCACTATGCTTAAGACACTGGGCCTCTATGTCCTGGGTCTGGCCAGGACCAAGTTTAAGCCTCAGTAGGCTCCCACCCAGGCCACCCATTCTAAATATGAGCCCCCTTGTAAAATGTCATGGGAATATAAGAAACGCCCACAGAGGCAGTCCTGGTCTGCCCCCCAGCCTGGGCCTTCCAACGGCAAACAGGCGGGGAAATGTCAGTTTTGATGGGATGCCTGGGGACGACTTACCAGTTCATACCAGGGATCCACCCGCAATAAAGCTTCCCTTCTCTAACCGGTTGTGTGCTTTTCTCCCGGAGTGGTTGCGGCTGATCTTGGACCGTTGGGTCCTCAACACCGTCTCCTGGGGCTACACCCTCCAGTTTACCTCTACCCCACCCAACCATCCTCCATCCCCATCACTCCTGGGGGACCCCTCTCATGAGGCCCTGCTCGAGCAGGAGGTGGGGCGGCTCCTTGGCCTAGGAGCAGTGGAAGTGGTGCCATCTGAGTTCAGACGCAAGGGGTACTACTCCTGCTATTTCCTTATCCTGAAGGCCAAAGGGGGGGCTCAGGCCCATCCTGGACCTGCGAGGCCTGAACCAGTACATGGTAAAGCTCAAGTTTCACATGGTCTCTCTGGCTTCCATCATCCCCTCCCTGGATCCCGGGGACTGGTATGCTGCCCTTTATCTGCAGAACGCATACTTCCACATTCATATATTTGAGGGGCACAGGCATTTCCTCCATTTCACGGTGGAGCAGGAACACTACCAATTTACGGTCCTCCCGTTTGGCCTGCCACTGCTCCCACGGTATTCACAAAGTGCATGTCTGTGGTGGTGGCCTACCTCAGAAGTCGTGGGGTTCAGATCTTCCCCTATCTCAATGAATGGCTGATCAAGGGCAGCTCCAGGTCACAGGTGCGGGATCACGTGGCACTCCTCCTGTTCATGTGCAACACCCTGGGCCTGTTGGTAAACGACACCAAGTCCATGTTAGTCCCAGTGCAGCACATAGAGTTTATCAGGGCAGTCCTGGACATGACATTGGCTAGGGCCTCCCTCCCACCGGACAGATTTGAGACCCTGAAAGGGCTCATCGACATAGTCACAAGGTTCCCCGTGACTATAGCCAGAGCGTTCCTCCAGCTCCTGGGTCACATGTCGGCGTGCACATTTGTGGTTCACCATGCCAGGCTCAGGATGAGGCCCCTCCAGCTCTGGTTGGTCTCGGTGTTCTCCCAGTCCAGAGACAGGATGGACAAGGTCCTCACTGTGCCCGAACTGGTGATCACATCCCAGTGATCCTCCCCGTGGAACATGCTCCACAGGGTCCCATTCAGGGGCAGGCCCCCATCGGTGGAGCTGGTGTCCAACGCATCAGACCTGCTGTGGGAAGCCCATGTGGGGAACGTTCAGACGCAAGGTCTGTGGTACACGCATCACTTTGCCCTGCATGTAAACGTCAAGGAGCTCAGGGTGGTCCAGCTGGCATGCATGGCCTTTCGCTCACACCTGTAGGGCAGAGTGGTCAGGGTTCTCACGGACAACATGGCCTCGATGTTTTACATCAACAGGCAAGGCGGGGCCTGCTCCTCTACCAGGAAGCCCTCAGGCTGTGGGACTTTTGTATAGCCCACGACATTTGCCTACAAGCCCACCACTTACCAGGTGCCTGGAACTCGTGGGCAGATCGCCTGAACCGAGACGTCTCCTCTCACCACGAGTGGTCACTACACCCAGAGGTGGTGCACAGGATTTTCCGAGAGTGGGGAACTCCCCAAGTGGATCTGTTCACTACTCAGCAGAACCACCGGTGTCCCTGATTCTGCTCCGGGGGTGGGTGGGGGGTCGGTTGGGCATGGGTGCTATCTCTGATGCCTTCCTCCTATCCTGGTCAGGCTTGCTTCTCTATGCCTTCCCCCCGATCCTGCTGATCGGCAAGGTCTTGGAGAAGATAAAAACGGACAGGGCCTGGGTTCTCCTGATCGCCCCGGCATGGCCCAGGCAACATTGGTATGGGACTCTCACGAGCCTAGCAGTCACCCCACCATGGCTGTTGCCATCCTGCCTGGACCTGCTCTCCCGGGACCAAAGCCGCCTCCTCCACCCCAACCTAGCGGCACCCCACCTCACGGCGTGCCTGCTCAATGGTTAGGCTGGGAGGAAAGGACGTGCTTGGAAGGGGTTCAGCGCATCCTCCTGGAAAGCAGACGGCCCTCCACACGCCGGGCCTACCTGGCGAAGTGGTCTCAGTTTTCCCGGTGGGCAGCCGATTGGGGCGTTTCGTCTGTGGCTGCTCTGATCCAACTCATTTTAGACTACCTCCTTCACCTTAGAGCCCAAGGCCTAGCGCCCTCGTCTGTCAAGGTGCACTTGGTGGCCATATCGGCCTTCCACCCATCGGTGCAGGGGCATACAGTATTCTCCCATTCTATGACTGGTTGATTACTTAAGGGATTGGATCGTCTCTTCCCGTATATTAGGCCCCCAGTCCTGCAGTGGAACCTGAACTTGGTGCTGGCCCAATTGACAGGTCCCCCATTTGAGACGCTAGCTACATGTTCCTGGTCACACCTCTCATGGAAGGTAGCCTTCCTGGTGGTGATCACGTCAGCTAGATGGGTCTCAGAGCTCAGGGCCCTGACCTCCGAGCCCCCGTACACGGTGTTCCATAAGGATAAGGTCCAGCTCCGACCACATCCTTCGTTCCTTCCCAAGGTGGTCTCCACCTACCACATGGGTCAGGACATCTTCCTGCTGGTGCTCTGTCCCAAGCCCCATGCCTCCAGCAAGGAGTGCCACCTCCACATGGCTCTGGCCTTTTACGTGGAGCGGACTAAGCTGTTCAGGAAGTCCTCACAGCTGTTCATTGCCTCGGCCGAACGCATGAGAGGTCGGCCGATCTCCACTCAGCGGCTCTCCAATTGGATCACCTTGTGAATTCGTACCTGGTACGACCTGGCGGGAGTTCCCCCACCACCGATTGTGAGGGCACACTCGACCAGGGCACAAGCCTTGTCGGCTGCCTTTTTAGCCCATGTTCCCATTCAGGACATTTGCAGGGCTGCCACGTGGTCTTAGGTTCACACATTCACCTAGCATTATGCGATCGTCTCCCAAACCAGGGACGATGCTGGGTTCGGCAGGGCTGTACTCCATCCCGAGAGTCTGTGAACTCCTACCCACCTCCAACAGATATAGCTTGGAATCACCTATTGTGGAATGCACATGAGCAATCACTCTAAGAAGAAAAGACAGTTGCCTTTTCCATAACTGGTGTTCTTTGAGATGTGTTGCTCATGTCCATTCCACATCCTGCCCTCCTTCTGCTCTGTCTGAGTTGTCTGGCAAGAAGGAACTGAGGGTGGGGGGAGCACGCAGCTCCCCTTAAACCGCGCCATAGAGGTGCCACTCCAGGGGTCACTAGAGGCACTCCCCTATGGGTACTGCTAGGGGAAAAAGCTTCCTGCACCCGTGCGCATGGCGAACACGCACACCTACTGTGGAATGCACATGAGCAACACATCTCGAAGAACACCAGTTATGGAAAAGGTAACTGTCTTTTCTCTTCCCTTCCGTCCTACGTCCCTGTGCCATGATGTGTTCCAGGAAAACTCTGCCAAACATAGTTAGGAGTCAGTTGCCTTGTCCCCAATTGCAAGTAGCACAGCAGCAAATTAATGATGCTTTTCGGTAGCAGTGTAGAGAGGAAGAGGCAGCTCCAATGCCAATTCAGTAGTTCGTGCTACCACATCCAACAACCCCCATCCCATAAAACAACCCAACTCCCACTCTTGCTGCCAAAACCAGCTTCAATTTCTTACCATGAATCAAAGGCTTGTGGGACTAGGACCATGACAAGATGCCCTGCATGGAAAAATGTAGAGAATGCCTGATCTTAGTAATGGATGCCTTCAAATGATTGTGTGTTTTTGCTAGCCTATTTTTGGATATCTTGATGATTCTGATCCCTAGTGAGCCACTGACTCAGTGACCTCCTGAGGTCCCTTCCAACCCTGATATTCTATGATTCTATGACCTTAGGCAAGTCAGTTGGTCTCCTTCTTTGAGTATCAAGAATGCTCACTTCCTCAAAGACCCTGTGCTGTGGAGACCTTCTGTCCAGCAGAGGACAGCTACAGGTGCTGCTGTCCACTTCCACTGGAGTGGGAATATCAGGGAGCAAAGCGAAGTGCCTTCTAGCCCCACAAACCTTCAATTTTTAGGACTGAATGCATTGCTTTGGCAGCAATACCAGGTTGGGCAGTGAGACTCCCAGTCTAGGACCCATACAATAAACTCCTTGTGTTGCAACACGTTGTTGTAACACTAGACAAGTGGTCAGGTCAAGCAGAACTTTCATGAAAACTGTATGTGGCATCTGAGTTGAGCTATACTGCTGGTTATAGGTATTCCATATTAGGATTATTTCAGTGATGGATCTCAAATTACTGCTTCTCTCCCTGCTGCATTTTTCATGCACTATGGAGCATTATATATAACTGCCTCAGTTAGAATTGAAATAAAACAATCACATAGGATTTGTGGGAAAACCATTCCTAATAGAATACTACATAAAGAATAAATAAATCCAAGTGTTATGTAGCATCATTTTATTTAAAGTTAGATATAGAAGAACTGACATTCATGTCAGATGTAATTTTGATGGATCTTTGCTTTGCCACTGTTGATACTATTCTCTCCACCTTCTACAGAACTGTGCTCAAAGATCTGTGAACTTCATATTGTAAAGAATAACAGCAACTATGTTTGTTTTTATAGGTAAGATGTCAACAGCACTGATGCTTCAAGGGCTGTGAAAGAAGCCACATTTTATTTAGAAACCCGATAAAACGTTACTAAACTATTTTTAAAGACAAAGTGTTTGACCTTGTAGCCCACTTAAAACTTAAACATGTATTTACACTGGATATTTTCTTGGTTTATGAACCTTAAATAAAAAAGTCATGCAAAAAGCTTTATTTGGTCTGTTGATCTTTTGGTAATTCAAACCATTTTCAGTTCAGTAAAACTGTCCTTAATATCAAGCGAAGACCATATACTTTCTATGCAAGATTTCTCATAACATTTGAGCATTGGACTGTCCCCTGAACTGTGCATGGAGATCATGTAGCTGGGGTTTGATCCTAACACTCAAGATTTGGGGAAAATCCAAAGAATTTAGAATTTTTTCCCCAAATCCATTATGTTACACTAATTTGCTGTACATCCTGTAACCATTTGTTTTCGGTAGAGATTAACCCAAGCCTAAAACCTCAGATCCAAACTCCAGGGACATTCAGCTCTGGATCTGAAGGTTGAGATTCTCGTCTATCATTTGAGCTGGGCTTTAAGAACATAAAATGTCATGAGAGTGACAACACAGCTTTACTAATGTCTACAAGATCTGTCCTCTGGTTATTGTTCACTCTGTTAAAGCTCTACTCTTAGCCTTGGTCTACACTGGGGCGGGGGATCGATCTAAGTTACGCAACTTGTAGCTGAAGTTGACGTACTTAGATTGACTTACCGTGGTGTCTTCACCGCGGTGAATCAACTGCTGCTGCTCCCCCGTCAACTCTGCCTGCACCTCTCGTGGCGCTGGAGTACAGGAGTCGACGGGAGAGTGCTCGGGGGCTGAGCTTGGGGGTAGGTACTGTTGGGGGCCACTGGGCATAGCTACCAGGTAACTCGGGAGAGTGGA